CCCCTATGGAAAAAAAAACTCTTAAAAAAAAAAAAAAAAAAAAGAAGGTGATACAAATAGTTTTTCTGGCAACCAAAGAACACTTTATTAAGTTTGCATAGTGTGTGTGCACTCACCAGGGAGAGAAAGCGAGAGAGAGAGGCCGCAATGCAATCCCTTCTCCTCCTTTCTCCTTGGGATTTTGGGCACATATGCACATGCCTCCAGTGTGTCTTCTCAAGTCACCAGATCTGGGACTCAAACTGTACAGTTGGTCATATGGGATCCAGCAGCCTTAACTACCATACCACTGGCTGGCCCACCAAAAAACACTTCTTATATATTAATAGCTATTTGTCAGGTGAAATACAGCAAACCATTCAGGATGAATTATCCCTCAAAGGATAACTGATCAATGTAGAAAATCTTGTGATGGAGGAGGCAAAAAGGGCTGATGAAATATGTCTCACAAAAGGTCAGAAAGAAGCCAGATCTTGAGACGAAGGTAAGTTTAAAAGCAAAAACTGCAAGATATGGCAACTATTGAAAGTATAGCTGAAAAAGTCTAGATTAAAGTTTCATTAGGGGATTATACATGCTTTTGAAAAACAACAAACAAAACCTAAAAAGGAATATTCTCAGGAGAAAATAACTAATACAGTAACATGCATTGCAATTACTTGAGATTAACATTTCAAGTGGCCCTGCAACTACTCCCCACCAGTTCATGCTATAAATTCACATTCCTCTCCAACTGAAATGCCAAGGAAAAAAACATGCTGAAACAATCAAATGTCTGGTCTTTGCTACCATGAAAAAGCAAAAAAGAAGAAAATCCCACTCATTTTGGCAATTTTAAATGCTAGTTTTTATTTACTGCTAACTGTGCAAAGGACACCAATTCAATACTGTGCAGTAAAACAGTTACATAAATCCAATATTAAACAACAGCATATGGGAAAAATCTAAAGCAGAGCACCATGTGCCTTCAAAACTGATTAATATCATAGAACACAACTCAGTTTGGACAATTCTTAAGAAACCTGAAGAGCTCTTTCATTTAATATTAAGTGAGGTATCAGCAGCAAAGGTTCTTGGTTTTGTTGTTTTATATTCTAGGAAAAAGTGAAAGTTATTCCAATTTTGCACTCTTTAATATGATGTATGGTTTCTGAATAATTTTATGATTTTTTCTTTTTATCAATTGGCACCATCAGCTAACACAAGGTTGACAAGCTGGCTGCAAGAAAATAGCTGAATACAACAAAATAGGCTCAATATAGGGATAGTTGTACATCCATCTCAATTTCCTTATTTAGAACCCAAAGTAATATTCCTTTAAAGTACTATTTTAAATGAAAAGGTAAAATGACCTTAAAGACAAATACAACAGTAACTACTCTAACCATCTAGATCACTTAAACATTAACATAAAATACTTTTTAAAAACCAAAACAGCAAGGAAATGGCAGTGTAAGAGTACTTCATACTGCTGAATCTTACATATTTTGAGGTACATAATGAGAAGCTGAGGGAGGTGAAGCAATATAAGCAACTGGCCCAGGATTTATGGCACCATGAATCTGAGAACCACTACCATATGCTGCACCAACTGGATGCCAAGGGGCAACATAGGAATAATCTGGTGCAACAGGAAGGCAGGAATCGAAACCCGGCAAAGGTGGTTGCCCATAGGGATCTGACATTACTGGATAATAGACTGTTGCTCCATGAGGGACAGATGCAAGGTCAGGATTTGGAAAAGTACCTAAAACAGAAAATTCATATAGTATACTTTAAATACAAAAATTCACTGAAATAGAGCCCTATGCAACATAAACAGATGAGTTTACAGGTGAAAATGAAACAATATTAAGTATATAAAAACTCACAGAAGCACTTTAGATACAAACAATAGCAACTAAAACAGGTCACCAAAAGATTATATAAAAATTGGATGTCTTCAAAAGTTCATGGAAAGTGCATATTATGAATAAAACATACATGGATTTCAATGTTCTTCACTAAAATTAACTAGTACTTTAATTCCATTTTCCCATGAATTTTCTGAATCTCCATGTATATATAAGTGTGTGTATATATAGGATGTGACAAAGCTACAGTAATCCTTCATCTGTAGTTCCACTTTCCATGCTTTCAGTACAAAATAAGATATTTTGAGACCACACTCACATAATTTGTATTACACCATACTGTTATAACTATTTGATTTTATTATCATCACTTACTATGTCTAATTCATAAATTAAACCTTATCATATGTAGGCTATATATATATAGATAGATAGATAGATAGATAGATAGATAGATAGATAGATAGATATGAAAAAAACACCCAGTATTTATAGGGTTTGTTACTATCACCATTTCAGGAATAATTTGGGGGGAGGGTCTCAGAACATATCCTTGTGGAGAAGAGGGAACTACTATACTTTACCTATTAATAGCTATCTTTCTAGGATGGTTTAAGTACCTTGTGGTCACAATTAAGTTACCTAATAATTATCCAGTATAACATGTAATCCAAATAACCATTTTGTACCACTTTAGCAAACCTCAGGTATCTACACAATCTGGTTTATATTGGAAGGTATAGTTAAAAGTGTCATGTCCCAAATGTCATTAAGACCCTAGCATTACTTAAATTTTACAGTACATTTGTTACCACAAGCCTGTTTCAGTGAAAATAGATGGCATTCTGACCTTGCTATAGTGACTATACTTATTAGACAAAAAAGAATCTTTCATTATTTGGGCTTAGGTTAGCTCATTCTGTGAAATTAAGATGTCACTGATGGGCTAGCCAGGTGGCATGGTGGTTAAGGTGGCTGGATGCCACATTGTGCAGTTCAAGTCCTGGACCTGGAGGCTTGAAAAACATGCTATATGCATGTGTGCCCAAAATCTCAAGAGGAGAATGGAGAAGGGACTGTAGCGTACCCATCTCCACCCTGGGCAGGAGAAGGGGTGCTTTCTCACTTTCTCTCTGTCTCTTTCCATTGAACATATATTACTATAGCAAACTTCTAAAAAAAAACCCTTTAATTCCAAAAAGAAAAAAAAAGACTGCCTCTTCCTTATGATTTACTATAATTTAAAACTGCTCTATAAAAGGTACACAGTACAAAAATGCAATAAAGGTTGACACATCATTTATTATCATAGACCAGCACACTAAGAGATAAAATACCATAGTGCTAACATCATGTTAAAACTACTAATACACTTTAAAAATGGAAGAAAAAGAAAATTAGTATTCCTAGTATGTACTAGGCACAGTATACTTATAAATGAGGTCTCAAAACAACTCTGGCAAAGTCAGGTATTTTCCATTTTGCAGAAAACCAGGCTTGCAGAGGTTAAGTAATTTAATCAAGATCACAGCTGTCAAATAGCAGTGCTGGAATGTGAAATTAATTTAGTTAGGTTTCTTCACATCATCTCTTCTTGCTGATTCATTCCAATAAGTGCAGTCTAAAGATCCTATTCTAAATACCTCCCAAATTTCTCTCAATCTGTTATAACTTATAGAGCAACCATGTTTATGGTCTAGCAATGGTGATTCTCAAACTTTTTGGTATCAGAATGGCTTTACACTCTTAAAAACTGACACTCCAGGGACAAGCAGATGGTATAATGGTTACATTGCTGGACTCCCACAGAATCGACTGCCCTTTGAGTCCCAAACTTGGTGACTTAAAATGCACGCTGGGTATGTGTGCATGTGTGCCCAAAATCTCGAGAGAAGGAACTGTGGTGTGGCCATGCCCCCCCACCTCAGGGGGGTGATTTTCCACTTCCTGTCTGTCTCTTCAGCAAGCACACGCACCCTTTAGCAAAAATCTCTCTTACAAAACACAAAAACAAAAAACTGACAACTCCAAACAGCTTTTATGTAAGTCATAGCTATCAATCATTATATTAGGAATTAAAATGAGACAGTTTAAAATGTTTATTAATTCATATAAAATAAGCCTATTATTTATTAACACACACATATGAAAAATAAGTTTATTATCCAAAATATAAAAAAATCAGTGACAGAATCTGTTTTATACTTTTGCCAATTATTTATTTATTTATTTATTTATTTTTATTTTGCTAGAGGGCACATGCACTCATGGCAGTGCATGCAGGGCGGGGGGGGGGGGGCGGGGACACAGGAAAAGGCTCCCTCAAAAGGGGATGGTCAGGCTACAATCCCTTCTCCATTTCTCCCTCCTTTCAGGACTGAGCACGCATACATACATGCCTGTAAGCCTCCAGGTCTGGGACTCAAACTGCTCAGTTGACCATGTGAGATCCAGCTGCCTTAACCAGAACTCCACTGCTGGCTGGCCCTACTTGTGCCAGTTTCTAATGTATGGCTTAGTAGACGACAACTGCATTCTCATAGAGATTAAATATCGCTTTATTCAAAAATATTTATGACCAGAAATGTTTGGGATTTGTTTTTTTTCATATTTTGGAATATTTGCATATACATAATGAGTATCTTGGGAATGGGACTCAAATCTAAACATGAAATTCACTGATGTTTCATATGCATCTTATACATGTGCTGAAGGTACTTTTATTCAACATTTTTGTACTGAAGCATTTTGACTGTGACCTGTCGACATGAACTCAGATATGGAATTTTCCACTTGTGGCATCATGCCAGTGTTCAAATGTTTCAGATTTTGGAATATTTCAGAAGAGAGATAACAATACACTATATATGCTTCTGTATTTATTATACTTATACATTGTTTTGGTTGAAGTATAATGAAGAAACCTGGCCTCACAGAGATTGTAGCTGAAAGAGGGAAGTCTTTTAATGACTTGACTTTTCAGATAATTGTAGATATTCTTTGATGCTACACCAAACTATCTAAGTGGTAGTTTCTCAAAAGTCAGTAGCAATGTCAAAGTTTCATACTCCACTACTTTAGTATCTATTGTTTTTAGAGACTGAGAAAGGTCATGGATAGGCGGGATTAGGAAAGATTGGTCAATAAGTACAGGGTTACCAGAGAGAAGAAATAAGTTTTAAGTTCTAGTGTTCCTCAGTGTGGTAGGATAACCATAGTTAATAATAATATAGCATACATCTCAAAATGGCTACAGAAAGTTTTGAATGTCCTCACCATAAAGAAATGTTGCAGTAATAGATATGCAAATTAACCTAACGTGTTCATATACATTCTATACAGGTATCAAAACATCACACTGTACTTCACATATATGCACACTTATTACATGTTAATTAAAATAATGTAAAAAAGAAGGGCCAGCTAGTGGCATGGTGGTTAGGGAACGGAACTCCCACATGGCTGACTATGGTTTGAGTCCCATACGCAGTGGCTTGCGAATCATGCCAGACGAGTGTTCACGCATGCCCAAAATCCCAAGAAAAGAATGGAGGAAAGGGGACTGTGGTGTGACCTTCACCCCTGTGGGGTGATTTCTCACTTTCCCTCTCTCTGTCTCCAGTGAGTGGATGTGTCCTATCGTCAAAACAAAAAAATACTAAAAAAAATTTTTTTAAATACTGTCAAAAAAATTTCATTGTTTTATCTTGCACTTTGGATACATCTTTTACAAAATCATTTATGGGCAATATCATGAATTAGTCATTGGGAAACTATTACTTCACTGAGTTATGTAGATCTTCCAAATATTGATGCTACATTCATTGATAGCCCCACCTATCTTATTAGAAGTTTTAATTATTGGGATACTGTAGACCTCATGGTGGGAGACATAAGTTTTCCAGAATTCTATTTTTTTTGAAAGCTGGAATTTTAATTTTGATAACAATATTACCAGTTGTTTTTTTGAAGTGACAGGCTCACTTGTTCATTTGAAAAAACATTAGCCAGATCAACTAAGTCTGAATAACCAGTTTGTCTATCATTCTTACAAGAAAAGAGTATTCCTTAAAAAAAGTCAGCTAGTTTACCTAGTTCAGCAGCACAAGTCCTTTTCCTTAATTAGCAGTTACTTTAGCATGCAAAAGGATTTTGTGAATAGTTTCCATTTTGTCATAAAGAATATTAAATTATTCAAGGATAAAGATTTAGTGAAAATAAGAATGTTACTGATAAAATAAAAAAGAAGTAAAATTGATGTTTTTGTACCACAGCTATGTGGCAGTGAGGAAGACATTGGTTACCAGCACAATTGATGCTAATGCCTTGAGATTTGTGCTTAGGAGCCAGCAGTTTTGCCCACTATCGATTTTGGCACTTTTAATTCAAATATAACACAGTGAATGGGTCAAGTAAAATCTTAGTATTATTATGAATACTTTTGGCCTCATGAGTCCCTTGAAAAAGTCTAAAGGACCCCCAAGGGGTCCATATAGCATCCTCTGAGAAGCTCTGGTCTAGTATATAGACCTAGGAAAACATCCAAGGGCTGTTAGTAAATTAAATACAATAAACCCAATTATCTATCTTCCCAGCAATCTCATCACATACTCACCGTTTGCTGATGCTTCTACTTGTGTGCCATCTGCTCTCCCCATATCACTGTACAAATGAGGAACTGTCTGCTCAACCAGAGGTGGTGGCTCAGAATAGACTGGGTAATTCTCTACAGGAAGATGCTGCTGCTGCATCTGTGGCACAAACATCATGGAGTGCCAGTAGTTGTGGTGATAGCACTTAAGCGGGAAAGGGAAAAAAAAAAAAAAAGTTACTGTTTCCTATTCTTAAAGTTGTACAGTTACTCACCAAAAAATTAGGCCATGATTTGCAGGTGTGATAGTAATGGTTTTTGTTTGTTTTTACCTAAAATATTTGACATTTAGAAAGTTTATTTTCTATTAGAATTTTAAGATGGTCTGTAGTGTCAGTATCTCATATTTGGACCTAGGAATTCTTCTTTAAAAAGGATTACTTTTTTTTTTTTGAGAGAGAGAGGTTTTTTGCTATAGGGCACGTGCACTCAACAGAAAAAGAGAGAGAGACAGGAAGCGAGAAATCATCCCCCAGGGGGATGGCCATGCAGCAATCCCTTCTCCTCCATTCTCTTCTCAGGATCTTGGGCACGCACGCACACGTGCCCGGCGTGAGTTTAAACCACCGGGTCTGGGACTCAAACTGCAGTCGACTACATGGGAGTCCAGCAACATAGCCATTATACTAACTGCTGGTCCCTTTAAAAAGGATTCTAAGGAAATCAGAGATATACACAAAGACCTGTATAGAAAGTGTCTTTTATAGGATTAGTCTTAAAGGCAAAATCAGTGAACAACCCAAGTATTCAATAGGGAACTAGATGAATTAATCATAGATTCATGAGAAAATATGAAGGTAATTTAAAAAGTATGCTGCCGAATATTTTTTTTTAAATGCTCATAGTGTTATAACACAATAAAATTATATAGCACAATCTATATTTTGTAAATAGAAACAAAAAAGTGGTAAGAAAATATATCAAAATGTACAGTGGTGGGCCAGCCTAGTATCCTAGTGGCTAAGGGAACCTGACCCCACATGGCCAACAGCAGCTTGAGATAGGGCCCTTTGGACTGAAAAACATACTGGGTGTGCATGCCTCAAATCCTGACAGGATGGAAAAATAGAGAAGAGACTACAGTGTGACCATGCCCCACTGGGGATGCTTTCTCCCTCCCCCGTCTCTCTGTGGTGAGTGCACACACCTTCTGGTCATTTTTTAAAAAGAAAAAAAAAGTGCAATGCTTATAGAGGTGTTTTTGTTTTCTTTGTATCTTAAAAATTTCTAAACGTACTGCAATAAATGTTATTACTTCTAATATGAAAAAGTATTAAAATAGCTAACCTGCATTTCCTGGTATTTCCATGATATAAAAGGCAAGAGAATATTTTTAATTCCTTAGTCTTGGGCAGGCCCTATACTACAGCAATTTAATGCTGTATGTAGAAAGACATCCCACAGGGCCAAATGTGGTTTGAATCTTGCTCCAGCAACCTGAAGAACACAATGGGCATGTGCGCCCCCAAATCCCAATGGGATGGACGATAAAAGGATTGTGTTGTGACCGTGCCCCATTGGGAAGTGCCTTCTCTTTTTAGCACTCTCTGGCAAGTGCACATGCCCTCTGGTGATAAAACAAATAAAATTAAATAAAATTTATCAGTCTTATACAATGGATTACAAAGTTTCCACATGACGACTAAAAAATAACATAAATAAAGAGGCAAGTAGTTTATCAACTCTTGAAACTGCATTTGAGAGAAAAAGTCTCATAGAATGAAAACCCAACCCACTATTCTTTTTTTTTTAGAAGAAAAATTTTTAATTGATAATAGGGCATGTGCACATGAACTTTTAAGAGGGGGATGAATACCCTCCCCACAGTATCTGGTTATGCCACAATCTCCTTTCTCCAGCCTATTGGATCCTAGATGTTTACAAGCATGTCCAGCATGTTTCAGGCTGACTAAGCCAGAGATTCAAACTGCAGGTGCTATGTGGGATATGGCTTCTTTTGAGCAGCACATTACCACTGTGCCATGAAGCCATCTTATTATTCCACTACTCTTTTTTTTTTTTGGAGAGATTTTCACTGTAGGGCGCGTGCGCTCGCCAGACAAAAAGAGACATAGAGACAGAAACCGAGAAATCACCCCCCAGGGGGGATGGTCACGCCGCAATCCCTTCTCCTCCATTCTCCTCTCGGGATCTTGGGCACACACGCACACACACCCAGCATGAGTTTAAATCACTGGGTCCGGGACTCGAACTGCGGTCTACTACATGGGAGTCCAGCGACATAGCCATTACGCTAACTGCTGGTTCCCTCCACTACTCTTAATTCATAGATGTGCACTATTTTGGTAAGGCAATTTTATAGCAAGGATATGTTTAAAGTGTTAGGGAAATCAGTGTTAAAGAATATGAATGAATGTGAGAACATCCAAAAGACTACATAGCTTATTGTCATCTGCCAAATCTTAAGGTATATCATTCCTTTTTCAGTAAATATACGATCTTGTTATATTGTAAGTCAAGCATATGTCAGGGGCAAAATGATCTCAGAAAGAATCAAAAAAGAAAGCTCCCACCTCAAATAAGAGACATCTTTCCATGATATCAAGATATTTGTCAGTACCCACCACTATGACTTAGTGGTGGTGAAAACTACTGTTGGACAAATATCTATAAACACATGAGTACTTAAAAATAATACAGCTCTTGGGGGTCTGCAGATGGCATAATGGTTACATTGCTGACTCCCACATAGTCGACCACAGTTTGAGTCCCAGACCTCATGGCTTAAACTCACGCAGGGTACATGTGTGTGCGTGCCCAAGATCCTGAGAGGAGAATAGAAGGGAAGGGATTGTGGCAGGAAAAATAATCCATTTATTTTACTACATAAAACTACAATGAAAGGTTACTGTATAATGTTAAATATGGTTGTGCTGCCTAGAGCCCAGTTCTCATTCCTCTCAATTAACAACCATTTTATAAGAGAAACTGAAGCAATAAGAAGTTAAAGTAGAAAACTATCTATGTCATCCTTAGAGATCTCTTAGAAAGACAGAAATAACATTTTAGGCCTTTTGGTGTTATTTGTTTTTAAAGTTCAAGAGTCTGATTATCAAAAATAGCTTATACTTTGAATACTGAAACTTATTGAAGCAATTTTATCATGATTCTTACCTGCAATCCCAGGTTGAAATAGTACTGCAAAACTTTTGTATCTAAAATTAAAAAGATTTAATTAGTGACTAGATTAACATAAGCAATTATAATAGTCATTTAAAAGCTTTTTGCTCTTTAATGAGCATTATTAAAGTAGATATAAATGTAGTCATTCCAGAATATCACTCTCAATTCAACCTGATAGTAAATGACCATTTACCTACCATTATAGGTAAGATAATTTTACGATTCAGGGTTTATACACCAAATACACATTTTTTCCCTATAGCATTAGGCAGATATTACAGGGTAAAATTTAGGAAGAATAAATGTATTTTCTTGCTTGTCTCAAATTTTTACATTGCTACAAATCTACTATATATGCAAAATTGCTTTGGTCCCCAGTAACTAGTTTACGATAAAGTACAAACCCCTCTTAAGTTGTGACCTCCCTATATATACTGATATATTTACTGTCATTAAAAATAATCATCATAGGCCAGCCAGGTGGTGTGGTAGTTAAGGTGGCTGATCCCAAAACTGCATGGTTTGAGTCCTGCACCTGGCAGCCTAAAAAAAAACAAAAAATACCAAGCTGGGTGCATGTGCAAATGTGCCCAAAATCCCAAGAAGAGAATGGAGGAGAGGGGACTGTGGCATGGCCATCCCCCTTGGGGGGTAATTTCTCACTTTCCCTTTCTATCTCCAATGAGTATGTGCCCCCTAGAGCAAACTTAATCAAAAAAAAAGGAGCAGCAGGTGGTATGGATCCCAGGTTAAGGTGCTGGATTCCACATGGCCAACATCACAGTTTGAGTCTCAGATCTGGCAGCTTAAAAGATACACCAGGCATGTGTGCATGTGTGCCCCAAATCACAAAGGCAGAATGGAGGAGAAGGGATTGCAGTGAGGCCATTTCCCCGGGGGATGGTTTATTCCTCCTTCGCTCCCTCCCACTCTCCCATGAGTACACACATCCCATGGGAAAAAAATTTTTTTTAAAGTTAACTTATATCTGTGACTATTACATAGAAGTACAGTATAAAGTCTAATGTTCAGATTAAAGAACATGAAGAGATTTCTTTCCTATCCTGCACCCCTCACCACTGCTGTCCTAAGTTCCATCCACTGATGCAGCAGAAACACAGGGAGTCAGCCACTTTTAGATTTTACAGTTCACTGGCCCACACCAGGAACATGATTTCAGATTCTTTGTTTGGTTACATATTCTCAGACAGTCCCAAGTGCACCTCATCCTGAAAGATAGTTAGAGAATACAAACACCGGAACCTGGCTTGACACACACTATTCTGATCCAAAGATACAGCCCTCTACTAAGAACACAGCTGGGAAAAAGAGTTCTTCAAAGTAAGAAGAAGGGTATAATTCATCAGATGACTAAAAATCAGCACAGAGGCAAAAGAAATCTGAAAATAACAAGGAAATATTCTTCTCTCAAGGGAACAAGACAACTCCTCATCCACCACAGGCAGAGCAATTGAACCAACATAAATGTCAAAAAAAAAAATCAGAATATTGACAGTGACAAGGCTAAATTAGATGCAAGAGAACACAGACAACCAACTCCAAGAGATGAGGAAAATCCTTCCATGGTTTGAAGGAGGAGATAGACACCATATTAAAAAAACAAAAAAGGGAACCAGCAGTTAGCGTAATGGCTATGTCACTAGACTCCCATGTAGTCGACCGCGGTTCGCATCCCGGACCCGGTGGCTTAAAACTCACGCCAGGCGCGTGTGCATGTGTGCCCAAGATCCCGAGAGGAGAATGGAGGAGAAGGGACTGCAGCGTGACCATCCCCCGTTGGGGGTGATTTCTCACTTTCTGTCTCTGTGTCTCTGTCTGACGAGCGCACACGCCCTAGAGCGAAAAAACCTCTCCAAAAAAAAAAAAAAAAAAAAAAAAACAGAGTTCTAGAGATGAAGATTAATACAGGAAATAAAAACTCCCTTGAAAATATTAATAGCAGGTTAGACCATACAGAAGTTCGAATTTCTGATCTAGAAGACACCTCTGACTTAGACAAAGTCATCAAAAACAATGAAAAAAGAACCAGAAAAAAAAAAGAGAAGACAACCTAAAGGAAATACTAGATATCATTAAATGTCTAAATATCCAATTAATTGGTATTCCAGAAGCTAAAGAATTTAATAAGAACATAGCAAATCCATTCTATGAAATACTTCAGAAAACTATCCAAACCTAGAGAAACATTCAGCTATTCTGACTCAGGAAATACAAAGAATAACAAATAGAATAAACATAAAATCTTCCACTCACATATTATAACAGACTGGTAAAAATCAAAGACAGAAGTAAGATGAGAAAAATGGTGAGGGAGAAAGATCAAGTTACTTACAAAGGTTATCCTATTAGGCTATTATCAGACCTTTCAATGGAAACAATGCAAGGAAGGCAAAAATGGGAAGATATATTCAAAATGCCAAAAGAAAAACAATTTCAACCAAGAATATTATACCCTGCAAGACTTTCCTTCATCTGGGAACAAATAAAAGCATTCTCAGATAAACAAAAACTGAAAGAATTCACCAATACTAAACCAGCTCTTCAAGAAGCACTGAAGTGAGTACGATACCAGGAAAACTAGAGAGAGACAAACAGAAATAAGAGAATGAAACAAAAACTAGCCAAGAAAATGGCAGGGATAATTCCACAAATACCAATAACAACAATGAATGGTAATGGATTAAATTCTCCAATTAAAAGACATAGGCTGGCTGAATGGATGAAAACAAAGCAAAACAAAACAAAAAACAGGAGCCCTCTATATGCTGCCTACAAGAAACAAACCTCACAGATGAAGACAAACATATACTGAAAGTGAAGGGCTGGAAAAAGATATTCTAAGCGAATGGAAATAAAAAAGGCTAGAGTCACAATACGGATATCAGACAAAATAGGCTTTAAGACAAAAACTGTAAATAGAGACACAGACACTATATAGTATTAAAAGGGCTAATTCTCTAAGAATATACTAAATAAAAATATTTTTGTACCTAACACTGGAGCACCCAAATACATGAAACAAAGACTGCTAGATCTAAAGGGAGAGATAGACTACAATACAGTAATTGTTGGGGATCTCAACACCCCACTGCCTCCTCTGGACAGATCATCTAGACAAAAAGTAAACAGAGATAGAAGAACTAAATGAGGAGCCAGCACATGTTTGAAGGCACCGGACTACCACAGGGCCAACCACGTTTTGAGTCCCAGACCTGATGGCTTGCTTGCTTTTCTTTCCTCTCCTTTCTTTCACTTTCTCTCTTTCTCTCTGTCTCTCTCTCTTTCTCCTCTCGTCTCTCTCCTCTTCTCTCCCTCCCCCACCTCTATCTGGTCAAGTTAATAAATAAATAAATAAAGTTTTTAAAAAAAGAACTAAATGATATCATAAATGAAATGGACTTGAAAGACATCTATAGAATATTTCACCCAATAACCACAAAATATACGTTTTTCTCACCACCATAAGGAACATTTTTGAAGACTGAGCGTGACAGGGCACAAAACAAGCCTTTACAAATTCAAAAGTATAGAAACCATATCCAGCATCTTCTCTGATCATGATGGAATTAAAGTGAAACTAATTACAGAAAATAAACACACACACACACACACACACAAACATGAGACCGGCAGTTGGCATAATGGCTATGTCACTGGACTCCCATGTAATTGACCGCAATTCAAGTCCCAGACCCAGTGGCTTAAACTCACTCTGGGCGTGGGTGTGGGCGTGTGCATGTGCATGTCTGTGTCCATCCCCCCGGGGGGTGATTTCTTGCTTTCTGTCTCTCTGTCTTTCTCTTTCTGGCGAGTGCACATGCCCTATAGCAAAAAACCTGTCCAAAACAAAGCAAAACACACAAATGCATGGAAACTAAACAACCTATTCCTGAATGACTGTACAACCACTGAAGAAACTAAGACTAAAATAAGAAGACTCATTGAAACCAAGGATAATAAGTACATGAGTTTTCATAACCTATGGGACACAGTGAAATCAGTCATAAGAGGGAAGTTTATAGCAATTGTGAACACAAGAAAAAATTGAAAAGTGGCAAATAGACAACCTAACAACATATCTCAGGGAACTAGAAAAACAGCAGCAGCCAAAAAAAAAAAACTAGGAGAAAGTAAATAAAGATTAGAGCAGAAATAAATTAAATAGAGAATAAAGTATACAGAAAATAAATCAAAATAAAAGCTGGTTCTTTAAGAAGATAAACAAAATGAGGACCAGCAGTTAGCATAATGGCTATGTTGCTGGACTCCCACATAGTCGACCGCGGTTCCCGTCCCAGACCCGGTGGCTTAAAACTCACGCCAGGTGCCTATGCATGCATGCCCAAGATCCCGAGAGGAGAATGGAGGAGAAGGGACTGCAGTGTGGCCATCCCCCCTGGGGGGTGATTTCTCACTTTCTATCTGTCTCTCTGTCTGTCCAGCGATCGCACGCACCCTGTAGTGAAAACCTCCCCCAAAAAAAAGTCCCAAAAAAAAGAAGATAAACAAAATTAACACATGGTTATTTACTAAGAACAAAGAAAGGGATTAGATAAGACAAATCACCAATGAAACAGGAAATATAACAGAAATACGAAAGATCATAAGGATTTGGGTTGATTTCAATTCATTCACAAGAGAATATTACAAGTGACTATTTGCCAACAAACAAGAAAACCTGGATGAGATGGACAAATTTCTGGACACACATAATCTACCAAGATTGAATTAAGAAACATAATGGTCTATTCATAAAGCCTGAATAGACCAATAACAAGCAATGACATTAAATCAGTAATGTATAGTCTCCTAACAAGGAAAAACCTAGGTCCTAATGGCTTCACTGCTGAATTCCACAAAACATTTAAAGAAGAGCTAATCCTAATTCTACTCAAACTATTTCTAAAGATCCAAAAAGAAGGAACCCTCCCAAATTCATTCTATAAATCCTCCATTACCCTCATTCCAAAAATAGGCAAGGACATTACAAAAAAAGAAAACTACAGACCAA